GGCTGGATGGGGCTGGGAGCAACCTGGTCTGGTGGGAGGTGTCCCTGCCCATTGCAGGGGGTTGGGACTAGATGATCTTTGAGGTCCAACCCAAACCATTCTGTGATTCTATGATTTCCCCTACTACTCTTACTATCAGACCTCTTTTGGCACTACTAAAGGTAATCTGCCCAAATATTAGACGTATCAGAGCAAATTTTTTTTGGCTCTGTGGACATAAATGTGTTTTAACTGACAAATTTTATGATGGATTTTGTTTTTAGAATGGAAGATTGCTTACAGCAGTATCAAACAATACTATTCAGATACATACATTTCCTGAAGGAGCTCCAGATGGCATCCTTACTCGTTTCACCATGAATGCAAACCACGTCATCTTTAACAGTGATGGTACCAAAATTGCTGCTGGATCAAGGTAACCTGTGCATGATGAGGAAAAGCACTGCTGTCGTTCAGAATCTGGCAACTTCCTTGCTTGCTGATTTTTACCAATGAGATCATTAAGCCACATACCTCTGAGGGTTTTGAAGTATTGCAAAATGCCTTCCAGGGGTGGAGGGGGCAGAAAGGAATGAAAAGGACTTTAGGAAACAATGCTCTGAGAGATACTTGATCCATCAAATAATTTCAAATGGAGATCTGGTGTTGTGAAATAATTCCTTTTCTTTAGGAGACTTGAGTGTTTTCAGTTTTCAGTCCTGTAATGCATAAGCATAAGCGTTTGCCCATATGGATCACATTGCAGCACCGAGGATTTTGTTACTCTGTGCTAAAGCTCCTGTCCTGACTGTCCAGGATCATGGTGCTGCAGATGTGTATACACATGCAAAAGTTAGAGGGGTCCTAATTTGTGCAACAGCTTTGAGTCATTCTCTGGCTAAAGTACCGTCACTGTTCTGCCAAATGATAACAGACAACAGTGGCAAGACTTGCCTGAGGGGAATTAAATGTGTAGTTTAATTAATTCCTCAGGGCAGCACGTTTGCTTTTACATGGTGTATGCTATTGCCCTGGTTTCAGCTGGGATAGAGTTAATTTTCTTCCTTGTAGCTAGTACAGCTGGTCCTTTAACGGAGATGGCAAAATAGCAAGCAGACAATTTTTATATATTTATGTATTGATTTTAAGGCTCCGGTGATTCTTAAGTGGATTTGGTGAACTCTTGGGGCAGCTGTAGCTGACTCAGGCTGTCTGCTTGCCCCTCTACTGGAATTTGTCTTCCACAGCAGAGATGGCAGAGTGTAGCATCTGCTCCCTGGCTCCTCGAGTGTGAATTGACCTCGAAAGCAATTTGGATGAATCTGCTGGACTGTGAACTGGCAGCTGTGGGGCAGACACACCAGCTCCACCAAAACGGGGAGGCTGGACAGCTGGGGGCAGTAACCACTCTAATCTCTAAATCTGACTGGGATCATGAGTTTAGGCCCTTTGCCAGTGCTTGTTTCTGAGGGAACAGCTCTGCCCCAGGGTCTGACTTTGATTAGAGAGATTAGGCAGACAGCAAACTCTTTTTCTGCTTCTCAAATTTTTACAAAAATCCAGTATTCTGCAGCTTGGCCACAGCTCTTGCATTAGGAAAAAGAGCTCATAAAACTGTGAGGCCACCCCTCGATGAGGCCTTCTGTAACACACTGCAGAAGGTGACAGCCATGAAATGAAGGAATGCCAGTAAGAAAAACTGCTTTTAGTTGTCCCAGATTGCTCCATTTTTTTACATGAAGTCTGCAAGCTTCAGTTTTGTACGAGTTTAACGTCCAACCGGCTGCCAAAGTTCGCATGAACTATTTGAAAAATAGTTGCGTGGCTTCTTAAATAAACAAAATATCCTATTGCCTGTGCTTTTTTTTTTTTCCTTTAAAGTCTTGCGTTATTTAAGAATGCCAACAATTTTAGTTGTCTTGCAATATAGTTTATAGACTTCCTTTTATGACTGTTTGGTTAGCATTAGATACTTGACAAAACTGAGGCTGTGATTCTGAATATAGCTTAAGTAATGGTTAACCCTGTAGAATTAGGTCCTAAAATTAAATTTCTCTCTGAGGGTGTTGCAATGAAGTATGAGAGGGAGTGGTACTGAAAGGTTGTCACAGGAGCTCTTTGGCTTGGAAGTTAGCATTGATATTTTGAGTTAAACTGCAGTAATGCCTGTAATTTTGGGGTGGGGAATAAACTTGTAAAAAATCTGTTAATGTATCTGATACGCCAAATGGTGTTAAAAATCCTGTTAGATGCTACAACTACTTGCTGTATCTTTTTTTTACAATACACATGACCAAATAATTACAGTAATGAATATCGGTGCCATTCAACAGATTGTTCTTAAGTCAGCTCTCTGGTATCTAAGCAGAGGCTTTTACTAGGTCAGGTAGAATATTATATTAAACAGGTATATGGTCTGTGTGTATCTAATAACCTCTTCAAAGAGCAGCCATGTTTTATGAACTTTGACATGAACAAAAATAATTTTCTGATAAAAATAGTCTGGCCTTGCTCCTATGGTAGTAAGCCTCAAGATTCTCATTTTCCCTTAGATGGTTCAGCGTTGAGAGCCGTAACTTTCCCAAAAGATAGGTAGTGCCTGATTTTTATTTTTTTTTTCTTTTTATTGCCATAGACATGTAGTTTGTCATTGTTAATGCTTTTATGTCTGTGCCTTTGTGATCTACAGTGACTTTATGGTCAAAGTTGTGGAGGTAACCGATAGCAGCAAGCAGAAAACATTCCGAGGACACGATGCTCCTGTCTTAAGCCTGTCTTTTGACCCCAGGGATGTCTACCTGGTAAAAAGGACTTTCTTGTTTACCTTCTACTTCGAATCTCCTTTCCCCTGGGAAAGAAATTAAATACATACTTTATACAAAAAAAACACCAAGGGCTGGGCACATGAGACGACTTCATTTCAGCAGACTCTACTGATGATGGAGTGTCACAACTTGTTGCCTCCCAGGAGAGCTCAGTCTTTACTTTCCTACTCAATTACTGTCTATGTTCTTCTGGAATCTAATGTTGATCTGATTTTAGAGGGGAAAACATGTCTCACTAAAGGAATTTAATATTAATTTTGAGTCTCTTTTGCGAATAAGCAGCTCACTTGAAATATGAGGGTTTGTAATTAGAGTAGCTTGGAGTCAAGTACAATTATCAAGATGACAGTATTGGAAAGTTTTAAGTCTTGAAATGATTTAAACAGGGAGGCTTTCTTTTTGAATCTGCCTGTGCAATATAGCTGTCTGTAGCGTTGGTTATCGAGATTTTTTTTTTTCAGTTGTGTAGCATTAATTTCTCTATGTCTTTAATTATTAATTTGTTTACAAAAATCTCTTGCATAGGCATCGGCGAGCTGTGATGGTTCTGTCAGAGTATGGACAATCGCAGATCAGGTAAAAGCCCGCCTTTCCAAGTTCAGTGCATCGTAACAAATCCAGGATTTCCCAGACAGCGAGAAGAGCTGGACAGAAATAACCCAACCGCAATAGGGTTTTCTTTTGAGGGAGGAAGTCTTAACTCCAGTTCACAGAATACTTTTATCTATTTCTGGGAGAAATTCCAAAGCCTGGTTCTGAAATGTTGCCTGGGTAGCTGTGGATTATTCTTCCTGTCTGTGGAGTCCCTGGTTTCTTCCATTCATCTTTCTTTACTGGGCAACGCTGTGTGTTTGGTCCTCAGCACATTCAGAAATAATGCTTCTGTGTAAGGGCAGCAATTGACATCAGGTTGCTTATTTGAGAATTTAGCTCATTGCTTTCAGGGTTAAGGAAGGACTTTTAGCCTAATCAACAACTATCTAGGTATTATTTTATTATTATTATTATTTTATTTTATTATGGTTTTATTTATTTTTACCAAGCTTCCTATGAAATAACTTTTGGGATTATAGACTGGTGAAGGTGGAGCAATGATCTGAGATGCTACATGGTGTCTTCTTTTAGAAGTGATCTGGTTGGTTAGTCTCATTAGGAACATGATTACTTTGACCTGAGATTAGGAAGAGATCAGGATTTTGCCTGCCAGGAGCCACTGAGATGATACCCATGAGGATAACAGTTTTCTTTGATAGGGGGCTTTGGACATGGGGTTGCTTCAGTCTCTCCTGCTCTCTGCCTGTGGCACACACGCTTGGTTTTCGAAGGAGTCGAGGTTCAGCTCAGTGCCTTTCAGCCTGTTAGATCTGAATGAGTTTGAGACTTATTGACAAGGTGCTCGCTATTCCACTTTTTTTGTTGTTTTGTTTTTGTTATAAACTCCACAACAATTTCTCAGAAGGATGTAAATCACACTTTGAAGAACATAATTTATTAGAAACACAGTCTTTGGGCTCAGCTTGGCAATATTTGGCTGAATTAGTTCAGGGCCTGTATGAAATTGGATTTAGTGACAGAATCCGATTTAGTCTCTGCTCTTGGAACTCTAATGAACTTGAGAGGAGGGTTTCGGGTGAATGCTTTAATAAGGCAATTCTGCACGTGTATGTGAGGTTGGTTTTGCTAAATGCCATTGACTGGAGTAAGAATCCACGTGGAATAGTTCCTGTAAGTACAGCTGGAAATGTAACCCCGCCACTTGAGAATTGCTACTTTTTTAAACAAAAGCACACTTCTGTTGTGAAATCTCATGTTCCAGACTGGCAGTGGGTGCCTTGTGGGGCAATGACACTGAGTGCTCTAGGATTGTGGCAGCATGATGTATGTATCTGTGCTGTTGTTTGAGAGTATAGCCATTCATTCTTTCTGCTGCTGTGGGGAGATTCAGGCTGATGTGTCACCTTGTCCTGGGTTTGACAAATTCATTTTGGCCAAATTTCTCTATAACCTAAAAATATGTGAGCTTATTTGTTCTGTACTTGATTAAAAACACTTGTTCTGTGATCTTATTTCTGTTACATGTAGTTGTATTGTCATTAAAATAGCTTCAGGTCTATGTTGGCAAGGTATTTTTTTCAGGGTTTTTTTTTTTTGAAGGCAGCATGTACCATTGTATTTAGATAAAAGAGATCATTTCCATTCCACAAGCGATATATCTTTTTTCCTTTTAGTTTTTCTCCACACTTTTCCTTTAAGAATGTGTACATACAGTAGATTTTTCACAGAGCTAGAAAACTCATTTTTTAATATTTTTTTTTGTTTTCAGACATGCACGAAAAGCTGGCCGCTGCTGCAGAAATGTAACGATGTGATAAATGCCAAATCGATATGCAGGCTTGGCTGGCAACCTGGCAGCGGGAAGGTAACTGGTACTGTTTTAGCCACATCTTAAACCTTCTTTTCTCTTTGGGAGTCCAACGGTAGAATTCGATCTGGGCAAGCCCAAATTGCAGCTCTTGGGACTCAGAAAAATATTTGGGGTGAAGTTCACATTTAGGAAAAATAAAAAACCTGGAAATGGTTACTTGTTTGAGCTCCAGGCTGTGTTTGGCAGTAGTCCAGCTGTCAGCCCGGAACAACATTCAACAGTCCTGTTGCGCTGAATAGGAAGGAACATTGTACACGAGGGAAATCGCCAAATGGCTCACCGCAGAGCATCAAAGGAGTTCAGGCTTTCTGTGTTTTAAGGACATTTTGCCCTATCAGTAGTCTTGCTCTGTAAATATTTCCATGGTAAGTTGTTCCCTTTCTTTTCACCTGAAGACTGAAGGTGGTTCTGTTGTGACTGACGGTGGTGTGGATACGTACTACAGGCCTAGGGTGCTGTGCACGTGCCGCAGCGCTGTGTGTGGGTGACTGGTCAAAACGGGCTGGGCTGCGCAGAGGCTCTGCAGCGTGGACCTAGAACCCCTATGCAGCACCCGGGGGTGCCAAGGGGAGAGGAGGAAGGAGCAGACCAGTGCAAACCTGTACGAAATGAGGCACGGCCCATACTTGAAGTAAAGGACGGGGAACTGAGCAAGTTGGCCGTTGGGAAAAATTATTTTATGGCTTCTGTTCTTGCCCGACTAATAATAGTGTGGCAGAGCCCGTTCATCCTTTGTTGCCATTCCAGTATCTGGATCTAAAGAGTATTTTCCAGTGTTTTCTCACAGTTCTCACAGTTCTCACAGTTCTCACCAGAGTAATCTTGTTTCCCTGACTTTGCCTTTGTGTCTGTCTTCAAAATACCTGGCTGCTATGATAGCATTATGTGTAACTTTTCTGGGGAAGAGAGAACGTCACCTGCAGTACAAATTGTTGCAATATTGCATAAAAAAAAACACTTGTAATTTTTAGGCTGATTCTTCACACACACACACACACACACACACACGAAACGTACGTAGTTGTCTTGTTTCTCTCAAAAAGCCCATAGTTAGCAGTCTTTAAAAAACCCAAATCCTAAAAAAAATAAACAGGCGGTAGCAGATGACATGAGCTATTTCAAGAATCAGCTACTCAAATAAGGTTTATTGAGAAGTTGTAACCTGATCCAAAGAAGTTTGGGGAGTTAGGGGAAAGGAGAGCGTGAGCCTTGTGCTCTGAGCGTTGATAACTGTTTATACGTGTGCGTTAGCTGTTTCATAAATAAGAACTTCTAACCTTATGGTGCAGCTGTCGTTATCCTCAGTTTTCTGCCAGAAAGAAATGAAGGTTAAAATAAAACCAGGCATGCTTTGCTAGGCTGCATGTGGAAAACATTAAAGAATCTTGTCATTCAAGTTACTTCAGCTTGCTTTCCCTTCTCAGTGGGCATTGCTAGGATGCCGGAGAACTGTTAAGTACTGAGGCAGTCACAACTGTAATTTGAACGTTCTGTTTGAAAGGGAACTTGTTCTGAATTGTCCGGTTCTTGTTTCCTTGGAACAGTTGCTGGCAATTCCTGTAGATAAAGTTGTTAAACTATACAGAAGAGAAACCTGGGATAGTCAATTCGACTTATCAGATACATCCATCACACAGGTAGGTGTATAAACCAGGGTTTGATAAATCTTCTATAATATAAATGTTATTCTGCTAGAAACTATCTCCTGGAGAGTATCTTCCCCCTGCCCCTTGGTAATGATTGCTCACATTTTCTGTTGCATTTCTGATCCTGTTACTTTATGTTGGAAAACCAGGCAAGCGACGCTGGCTGAGTGTCAAACGTCTTTCTGTGGCTCTGTTTCCCCTCTTTCATTTATAGTAACCCAGTAGATCTCAAAAGTCTACTGGTGAGCCACCAGCTGCAGCTGAAGAGCATCTGTTTTCACAAATTGCTTTAAATACATAGCTTTTTAGGGAAAATGTCAGGAGTGTTATTTCTGTACAGAACAGACATCGGTTGTTTACTTTACATTTTATGAAGCTGAAATTTAGCTGCATAGTAGCCCCAACTGTGCCATCTTTTTTTTGACCTGAAAATAAAGTTATGCTTAGTGCTGAGTTTGCAAAATACATTATGCTTCTTTCTACATGTCCAGAATCAGGTTTTGTTTGACCTCATGTCAGTGTTAATGACAGAAGATGGATGTTCTTGAAAAAAGAAGTGTACTGTCATTAAAGAATGGTTCTTGCAGGGAACTACCTAAAGCCAGCCCTAGTACAGGAGGCTGGATGTGATTTGCTAAAGGTCATTATTATTATTTTTTTTAATTCCAGAATATCTGTCTGGTTTAAGCTCCAGAATATGAACGCTGTGCAGGCATTGGTGTTGTGTTTTTTTTCCTTAGACCTTGAATGTTGTGGCCTGGTCTCCTTGTGGGCAGCATCTGGCAGCTGGAAGCGTGGATGGGAGTATAGTGGTGTGGAATGTGGAAACCCAGGAGTGCATAGAGAGGTATTCTGTGTCGTTCCATAAGTCCCTAAGCACATGTTTTTGCTTGAAATACAATTTTGTTACCTTTTCTGTAAAACTTATTTGTGCCAATGTAGAACTCTGCCTCTTGAAAAGCCTTAATAAGATTTACAGGGCAAATCTGTAAGTTTTCTGCTAATGTTCCACTGAAAACAAGTACCCCAGGAGACCGTTTTCCTGGCCTCATGGATGGGCTCCCAGGGAGTGGCGGGGGCCCACAGAGAGGGAGCCAAAGCACACAGGTCAAAAGAACTGTGTTGGATCTGGGTGATGCTGGGAGGCAGGGCCACCGCTCGGTCTAGACTGGGAGCAAGAGGAGGGCTCTGCTCTTGTGCAGCCCGAGTGTGGTGCCCTCACGCTGCAGTTCGTGTGCTGAAGGGAGTTCAAGGGCTGCCACCTCATTTCCGTGTCCTACAAGGAAGCAGCTTCCACAAGAGCGTGATTTTTGGTGGTGGGTAGAAATGTGGCGTTGTCTCGCCTTCTCCCACCATACCCAGTATGCCCAGAAGTATGTTTTGATTCATGTGATCTACTGGTTTCCTTTCTGCGTAGCTAGAAGGATCTGGACACATTACATCCTTAGAAATAGAATAGGGAGGGGACAAGAATGTGGACTTTGTTCATTTTCCATAGTCTAGTTCTCTGTGTGCAAATATCTTATTACTCTTTAATCTAATAGTTGATTAAAGGATAGCTTGGATGGAAATACATTTTTTTTCTCACGTCCCAATAGCATCTCTCTTTCAAAAAAAAAAAAAGACAAGACAAGGAAAAAGAGGTATGATTAAATGAGGTAGAGAAGAAAAGAAGGGATGATTTATCTGTCTGAATATTTTGGGTAAGAAACATGACTGTCACTGGAACACCTATGTTAAGAATTAAAGTCAGGTTATGTAAATAATTAATGGGAGGATTTTTTGTGATAGTAAAGGGTGGAAAAGATAGAGGATTAACTCGTCAGTTCGGTAACAGAAGCAACTGAATGTTCTTTTTATTACTGAATGGGTCTGGAATGTATGACTGCTGGGGAATTTCTTTGTCTTCTCTATGTGTATCGGTAAACTTGTTTTAAGAATATGATTCTGTTTTGATTTTTAAAGCTTAAATGACTTCTTCATAGAAAAGAAAGACCTGCTGTATTTTCTTATAGTAGCTGTTTATTCTGAAGGTGACTTATTCATTATTTTATTACATGTGACATCACTTTCTAATACTAGTAAATATTACAGCTTTTTACCGTAACTCTTAGGGAGGTTTCTGCCCTGAGAAGCTTACTAAAATCTTGTTGTTTTTATATTATTTTTAGGATGAAGCATGAGAAAAATTACTCAGTTTGTGGACTGGCATGGCACCCCAAATACAGCCAAATCGCTTATACAGACACTGAAGGAAATTTGGGGTTGTTGGAAAATATTGGTGATAGAAAGAAACCAAATGACGAGGTGACCAGTACCAATTATTTCTTAAATGAATATTGTTTAGGTAACCAAATTATACCAAACGTTTTGGCTTGTGTGCTGAAAGTTCCCTTGTGTGTGTCAGTTCATTTCTTGAATTCCATGTCCAGAAGAAATTTTTATGATGATAGTTCATGTGGTTTTAGGTGGCCAGTACAGTGACGAAGGGCTACAACGATCTCTTTGATGGAGATGACGACGACTATTTAAATGGAGATATGATTGAACCACAGTCTTCCCCAAAGGCTGGAGCTAATGAAGATGATGCTGATGACGACGACCTTATGCCAACTTCAGGCCATCTGAGACGGGCAATAATTGACGATGATGATAACTCACTAGGTACAGAGTGAACTCATTTTCCAGAGCTCTTTAGTGCTCTTATGGGGTCGATCTCTTAGCACCCTCTACTCGGCTGTCTTCTACCTTATTTTTCCAGAGAAATCTTGACTGTTTCACTTTTTACCTGTATTCTGTCGTAATAATGTGTGTAAGATGTAATTTTTTTAAAAAAACTTCTAGATATTGGGATGATAAAAGCCAATGCCAATCTTCAAAAGGAGGATGATGACAATGATCAGACTGGTGACTTTCCAGCTTTACCAACACCTACACAACAGCCTTTCTATGATGGGCCATTGCCAACCCCCAAGCAAAAACCGTTCCAGTCTGGCTCCACTCCTGCACACCTCATGCATCGTTTCATGGTAAATCTTGCTGCTGTGTGGTTATGTAGATCTGGTTGTTTTGTTAATATTGAATGTTGTCCAGTTCTTGCTCTGTCTTCATCTAATCTTTTCCAAGTTTGTTTTTTTTTTTTAGTACTTCGTAGTGTGAAGCTCAATAGTAGAAAGTAGCTTTGTGTTAATGCAAAGACTGTATAGTGTTATGTTACATTTCAGTTGCTTTTGATGTAGAAATAAGTACGTGGCTTTCAGATAAAAGCAAGCTAGGCAGTTCGTACCTGTGCTATTGAATTCTAGCAAATCTCTTTGAAAATTCTTTTTTAGCCAGAACTTGTGAATATTTTTGTTCTGTAAAGATTTGTACATTAGTCATCCACAACTTCTTTCTAAGTACAAGTTCCTCAAACGTAAGAGAAAGGAGAAAGATGGCTAAGCAACGAGGATGGAACTAGTTTCTGCCTAATTCAGCTGCTTTAGAAACTAAAGTCCCGACTACACGAGTCTTCAGTCTGCCTCCCGCCTACTGTTGTTTCAGCTGAGGAAGTTCTAGCAGGCTGTTGTAGGGCAGTGTGCTTGATTTTGTTGGGGGTTTTTTTGTTTTTTTTCTTTTGAATAGGTGTGGAATTCTGTTGGTATCATTCGCTGTTACAATGATGAGCAAGACAATGCTATAGATATAGAGTTTCATGATACCTCTGTGCATCATGCAACCCACCTGCCAAACTCTCTGAATCACACGATGGCTGACCTCTCTACCGAAGCTATTTTACTAGCCTGCGAGAGTACAGAGGAACTTGCGAGGTAAGTCGTGACCTTGCTCTGCAAAACCCATAGTATTGAATTATACTTCACTTGTTTCAAATATTTCAGCTTTTAATTTCAGCTTCTGTCACTTTTTTTGAGATTTTTGGCTTTCGACTGTGCATTTTATTTATGGGACAACTTTCGAGGAGGATTTTCACATCTACCCACTTAAAGACTTGAATGATATTGAAAGATGTAGTTTGTTTCCTAAGAATTTTTTCTAAATCCCTCTTTCAAATACATTTATACTGGAAACTTCATGCATTGCTAGCTCAAGGGAAATTGTAAACATGACCAATAGTTTTTCAATCTGCTCGGATCAAAGATAAATCATAAGGGCTATGCTATTTTCCTTCACACTATTGCCAAGGAGACATTTTTGAAGATACCCGGGGAATTAGACCCATGAAGAGCAGAAGTTTATGAAAACCATGGAAAGATGTAAGCAGCTGGGCCAGCTAGACTGTTCTTGTGTTTAAGAACAAAAGCAGCGATATTTTAATACCTATTCCTGTGGAAATATCTTGAAGAAAGAACTTTCTTCTAATTTTCAGACATATAGCATTGTGATAAGTCGAAAAGCACCCTTTGCCTTTAAAAGTATCATTTGTGTATATTGGTTGTCTGACTCTGAAAATGTCAACTTTTTTTCTCAATGGAAGTGAATAATCTCTCAGGAGCCATGGTGTCTGTGAATTGGTCATGGGCAGTTTTCAATTGTTAAGGTGGCTGAGCTGAAGTTCCTAGGGCTTTTCTTCCCCTTTGAAAGATAGCAAATATGACAGACTTGTAATGAGGACTGATATTCAGGGGTACCAAGCACCTTCGGTTCTTACTAATGTTAATTAAGCAGGACACTTACCCATTTCCATCTAAAAAACCTCCCCTCAGACCTTTAAACTGTCTCTGTTTGAGGCTCTAGAGGCTCTAAATCTACAGTGCTGGAGGTCGAGCTCATCAGTCCTTGAATGATAAGAGTAACACCTTTGCAAACGACCACTTGTAATTTGTAGTTCCCTCCTATCGCTGTATCAGGTTCCAGGTCTCTGATAAAAATGTAATATATTGGTACATTTTCAGATATTGTATTTTTCTTCATGTGGAGATACTTGACTATTGCTCTTTGTCTCTCCTTTAGCAAGCTCCACTGCATTCATTTTAGCTCCTGGGATGCAAACAAGGAGTGGACAGTAGATATGCCGAAGGATGAAGACATTGAGGCTATCTGTCTCGGCCAAGGCTGGGCTGCTTGTGCCACTAGCGCCTTGCTAGTTCGTGTGTTTACGGTTGGAGGAGTTCAGAAAGAGATCTTCAGTCTCCCAGGTCCAGTGGTGTCTATGGCAGGACATGGAGAGCAGTTGGTGGTTATTTATCACAGAGGTAGTTTTCTCCCTTCTGTCTTTTTTTTTGAACTGGGGTTATGTTTTCAGTCCTTTCAGTTACTGGCTTCAAACGCTGGTTGATTTGTATGTGATGACCAGAAGCGTTTTATTGTTATTCTCTTCTTGATGATGTCTTTACTGTCACAACCCACAGATCTTTGACTTCTGACAGCAAGGCCTACATTTTGTATTGTGGTGCCTGGATGAACCTGTGGGGGAGAATTCTGTAACAGTGACATTAATAGATGAAACTTGGGTTTCAGATATGCCAGAGTGAATTACTATGGGAGATTAAGGACGTAGTTGTTATGCTTGCTTTGTATGTCCAAAATGACAAGTAGCCGCTTGTCTGACAGTGGTATTCATGTATAATCCTGCATTAGAAATATTTTTCTGATTCAAAAATTAGGTTTAGCCAAGAGGCAAGACAATTCTTCTGTTTTCTAACATAGTCATTGAACAACTTCTTCCTAGGTACTGGGTTTGACGGGGACCAGTGCCTCGGAGTACAGCTGATGGAGCTAGGAAAAAAGAAAAAACAAATTTTGCATGGAGACCCTCTTTCTCTTACAAGGAAATCCTATTTGATATGGGTTGGATTCTCCGCAGAAGGTATGAAATACCTGTACGAGTAATGTCGAGAAATCTTGGGAGAATTTTGGAGGAGAGTTTGGCTAGCTAATGCCCTGTTAGTAATGGTGATCTTGGGTCCTAGACTTTGTTTCAACCTCTTCAATGCTAAACAGAGTTCTATTTTTCTATTCTTTCACTATATTTATCAGAAATCTCTTAATAAGTTTCCACTATGAGTAGAATACATTTGAATGTTACCAGAACTTGTTTTCCCAACTGATTGCCCTGCTCAGCAAAAAGAAATCAGTACACTAGAACAGGCATGTTGAGCTATCTCAGCAAAATTCATAATAACCAGAAAAAGGAGTTGTAAGATAGCTAATTTTCTTTGGGAATCTACCCAAGCAGTATGAATTTCTTCACGAAATGTATTAAATTAAGCTGACTAGCAGTCCTGTTGACTGTCAGAAGGTGGCGCGTCTTTCTAAGGAAACTCAGTCTTTCCCAACGAGGTTGTACTGCTTGGGTGAGAGGATGTGGTATTTGAGATACGTGAACCGTCATTTCCCAGCAGTATCCACCAGTTCAAACGTTCTCCCGTAGCAATTAGTTGCCTGTCGGAATAATTGTTTTCATTTGTAACAAACAGGTACCCCTTGTTACGTGGATTCTGAGGGAATTGTGCGGATGTTGAACCGAGGACTTGGGAACACTTGGATTCCAGTGTGTAACACGAGGGAGCATTGCAAAGGAAAATCTGATCATTATTGGGTAGTTGGCATCCATGAAAAACCCCAGCAGCTCAGGTCAGATATTTCCCGAGGAACTGCTTTGCTTGTCTTGGTTTTAAATTGCAGAGCGCTTCTCACGAAGACAAACTGGTAACAGCTATTCCAGCAGCTCAGGTCAGATATTTCCCGAGGAAGTGCTTTGCTTGTCTTGGTTCTAAATTGCAGAGCACTTCTCACGAAGACAAACTGGTAACAACTATCACCAAACCAGGTGGCTAGTAAATAGGCACAGTAAGTGATCCAGTTCGTAAATGTAATTCTGTATGGGTGTTCCATTACTAAACTGGTTTTGAGCAAACTCATTAGGATTTTATAATTTGTAACTGACTAATTGTGGCTTTTTGCCTTGGCTGACCTGCGTGTGCACTTTATTGTGAAATTGCACGTCTCTGATGCAGGCGGATTCGTAAGGATGCATTTTTGCTAGTGAAACCTACTGAAAAGTTATGGTTGCTGCTAGGAATCTGCTTCTGCTGTTGATGGTTTTTAGGGGTTTGGGGTTGGTTTAGAACTTTTTTTTGCTATGTTTTCCCTTTTTGTTCCTTGGAGAAGAATCCAGTCCTGTAACTAATTCACATCATTAGGCATAGATAAGTCATAACTGTTGTTATATTAATATTTAAACTGTGGCCATGAAGAACAATTTTGCGTGTAAAATGACTCTAATATTTAGCTGAGAGTTAGCCAGTACTGTATAAAATGTGATACCGGTGATGTCTAAATAACTGTTTCTCTTCATTGTAACTCGAATCCTGGACATTTAGTTGCTAAACTTTGTTGTAGTCCTCTATTCAGTGATCTGTGTCCTTTTCCTGCCAGGGCAGAATCCATCAACTCACATATTTTACTGAAATTTAGACTTTCCCACTTTGCTAGTCATGCACAATTGTGGAAGTTGGTGGGAGGCTGCATTTTATTTACATTATGTGACATTCTTTGTCATCTTTTTTTTTTTGTAATAAGGGAAATGATTTGCTATCACTGGTAAATGTCAATTCACTGTCTCTTTCTTCCTCCAAATCATTAAGTAATGTTGGCCTCCAGAGAATGCACCAAAAATGTGCAGGACACATCACAACTGTGAGTCTGTCATCCTGAATTTTTTTCCTTCTGCTCCAGGAAAGAGAGTGCTACTCTCTGAGTTGCAAAGAACATGTTATTCAAAGCCACCAGCCTATGAAAGATAAGGGGGGAGGGTTGTTGTGGAAACACCATATGCCTTAATTAACACAGATAGCCAGAACACTGATGCTTCCTGTTTGGTTTCTTTTTAATAGTGTCTGAAACAGTAGCTTATAAACCCAGGCGTTTTTGTCAATGCTGCATTGGTGCTGCTGCAAATGCAGCTCCTCCCCAGTCAATGTTTTGCTTAAGTGATTGTTACCAGAAAGCACTAATTTAAACATAGTGAAACAATAAGCCTACACTTTTGGTATAGGCTTATCTGTTTCACCTCTTTCTTTTTTCTTCCCTTTTTTTTTTTTTCCCCCCTGTGTGTGTCTGAACACAGCACTCTCCTCATGAAGTCCAAAACCTCTCATCAAAATAAATCATAGCCATGCCTGCTTTTGTTCCAGTGGCCTTCAGATGTCCTGTAGTTTCTGAATTTAATATATTGAATTGCGTTAACAGCTGCTAAATCATGTGTTGTGCGAGCTGGAGATCTGTGTCTGTCATGTGCCACGTTTTGCTGCTCTTGTTCACGCTAGAAACTCCATATGCTTTGCTGGTTTTAAAATCTTTTACTGGTTGCAATGTGAAAATAACTCTTTTTTTTTATGCAATTTTACATATTACTGTATTTAAGTCAGTAATTTAATTACTACTTTTTAAAGAACAAGTCCTCTTGAAGTATCTTGCTTCTTAAGAGACGTGATTTAGATGTAGAACAACTGATGACTGGAGGTGTTGAGGATTGTATGTGGTTTTTGTTTCCCTTGCGCAGGTGTATTCCTTGTAAAGGAGCCCGATTCCCTCCTACGCTACCACGGCCTGCTATAGCAATATTATCTTTTAAACTTCCTTACTGTCAAGTTACAACAGAGAAGGGACAGATGGAGGTACGGAATGGTGTTGACTCCACAGCTGATAGTCTCAGATGTCCCCATAGTGGGGGTTATACAAGATTCTTATTAATTATCTCTTCTATGGGAGAGGGTAGTATGAACTCTGAGTAAGACGCGTGTCTGTGGAGGTTATTTGGGTTCAGTGCTTGTATTGGCTTTCTGCTTTGGTTTGGTTCACAACTGCTTCTAGAAGAGTACAAGATAAAGCTGCTAGAGCTGATGCAAGGTTATATCTACACGTAATTCTGACCAATGAAGTCTTTCTTACCCTCTCTTTTTTTTTTTTTTTTTTTTTTTAAGTGGGTAGTGGTTAATGTTCTAGTAAGCACCAGATTTTGGGATCGAAATCGAGACCCTCTTGAAGGTGCCCGTTTTTTAGTATTTTAGGCTTAATAATATTTCTGGAAGATTTTTTTTTTCTGAAGATGTACCAAGTACTTAAATTCATATAATCACTCTGAAAACATAGGCCTTCTGGCTTAACTTGTTTTCATAAGGTAGAGGCTGGTTGAAGCAAGATAGACCTGCAGAGAACTTCTGGAAGAATATCTGTATTTATTCTTCATTTTTTTTTATAGGTTTGAAATATCTCAGTCTTGCGGGTTCAGTTCTGGTGTACAAAATAAACATAAAATTCTAACCTCAACCTTAGAGACAGTTCAATGCTGTTTGAAATTTATTCTTTTTTGATAGAGGCGCAGATAAAAGGTTTCAGTAATAAACACTTTGTAATTTTAAATGAAATCCTCTTCAGTCAGTTCAAGTCTCTCTGTTCTTTATTTGGTGGGGCGTGTCTTCCACACACCCCGCCAAAATAATAGAAGGGAAAGGTCAGGAACTGTTTATTTAGCTTGAGGGACTATGTACTTCTGTGTAGGTAAAGCAGCAAATTATTCCAATACATCTGTTTTCACTAAGTTTCTAATTATTTTGTAACAGAGCTAGCCTGGTCTAACAGCCATGCTAGTATTTCCCTGAACAAGAGTTATATTTTCTGGTTACCTGTCTCTCAGATGATGATTACTCCTACAGTGACTGAGTTATTCTGGAATACTTCCAGTTTGCCCTGGGACAGAAGCTATAAGATAAAATAATCAACTTGTTCTAGAATTGGCTGTCCTGGTGAGCATGTAGGTCTTGTAAGCCTGTAGTATGAAGGGAATTTAACATATATGACAACTGTTTGGATCAGTTTCTATACAGATGGTTGTCGGTGTGGTCTGTCTTCTCCTCAGTAGGCACTGGCTTTTAAAGGGAATTGTCTACCCTTCACCCTCATCGCAAGATGAAAGGAACAGTTAAGAATAAGTTGATAAAATACGTCGTAAATTGTTAGGCGTGAAGTTGTGGGCTGTTTTTTCCCCTCTGACCCCCAGCACCCATCTCTCTTCCTTTTTCAGGAACAATACTGGCGTTCTGTTGTGTTTCACAACCATGTGGATTACTTATCAAAAAACGGCTATGAACTTGATGAAAGTGCAAACAGTCAGTCAGTGAAAGAACAGCAAGAACTTTTAATGAAGCTGTTTGCCGTAAGTACAAACAAATACAAAATATAAAGGATCCCTGAGGCTTTATTTTGAGTAGATGGCATTTGATGTAGACTTTGATATGATGCCACTTATTAGAAGTCTGCCTAGTGACTGGCAATCCAGCTAGTTCACAGACTACGGTAAGAGGTGGACTGCAGTTAGTATTGTTACTGCTTATCAGTATGAAGGGTGGGAGGAAGAAGGGAAAAAACCCCACCTTTGTCTTTGCTGTGCAGCTCGTGATTGTTGGTGGTTTGTCTTTATCCGTTCACTCCACCAAGACAGTAGTATTCAGGTCCTAGAGTCTTGAGAGCGCAATGTAACTGTGAAGTGTGTCACTCTCAAGGCTGCTTTTCTTTCAGCTTTCTTGTAAACTGGAGCGTGAATTCCGTTGCGTGGAACTTGCTGACCTCATGACACAAAACGTTGTGAATTTAGCTATCAAGTATGCTTCTCGCTCCCGAAGACTAAATTTAGCTCAGCGACTTGGTGAAATGGCTGTAGAAAAAGCAAGCGAGTTGGCAACAGCAGCGGAAGATGAAGAGGAGGAAGAGGATTTCCGAAAGCACTTGAGTGCTGGGTAACGCAAGTTTCTGTGATTAAAAACCTGGGAACGTTTTTACTGACCTATTAGCATTTTGGTCCAGTTGATGCACTGTTCTGGACCATAGTTTGCAATCTGTTTGTTGTGTAGTAACAGTTTGTGTTGCTCTACTTGTACGTACAAAATGGAACATTCCTGTCGATGTCTTGTGAGGACTCGTTAGCACCAGGACACTGACACAAAGGGAAATGTCTCCGCTCCTTGCTTACTGTGTGTCTTGTTCAACACACGACAAAGCAGACTCAATACCAAGTTGCTCCAATTGGAATATTTTTCTTTTGTTTTCCCCTTTCCTCTAGCTTGGGCTGCTTTGGTTGTTTGACTCCAACCTATTTTTTTTCTCTTTGTCTCAGTGTCTCTATCTCACTTCATTCCACACCCATCTTAAAATCCGTCTATCCTTCTCTAGCTCTCCCTTCTTTCAGTATCCCATCTTATTGTAATCTGTTCAGTCTTCCAAGCTGTGGAAACTCTACAGGTTTGCTTTGCATTTTTTCCCCTCTGTATCTGTGCTACCTACCTTTCCTCTCCTACCTGCATCTGCTTTGTAAAGGTCGATGAGGCAAAAGAGGTGTGTGGGTTTTGTAAAAATACAGACCATACTGAAGAGCTGTGTTCTTGCTTGGCCGCTGGATGGTACAGGTGTAAGGAAAATAGGACAGGAGTAATGGTTTTAAACTAAAGGAGGGTGGATTCAGACTAGATCTAAGGAAGAAATGTTTTATGAGGAGGGTGGTGAGACACTGGCACAGGCTGCTCAGAGAGGTGACAGAAGCCCCATCCCTGGAAACACCCCAGGTCAGGTTGGACGGGGCTCTGAGCAACCTGATCCAGCTGAAGATGTCCCTGCTCACTGCAGGGGGTTGTAGGTGGCCTTTGAAGGTCCCTTCCAGCCCAAACCATTCTGTGATTCTGAAATAGTTGCTAACCACTAGTCTGGTAGAGCAGAAAAAACCACGGTAACATTTTGGCAGAAGCGACATCTTCCTACAGCAATTTTATGTATGAAGCTTGGAACTTATTTAAGCAAGAGGCAGTGCTAAGTCTGAACTTACCTGTAGCCTTTCCCTTATTCTTCTCTGTGAAACTGCACGTTCAAAGCTCATTTCTAAGTGCTCTACCTTGTTCTTCTGGATCATGCACGGAATCTTTAATCCCATGTCTGCAACTTCAGCCACTCTGAGGGTTAAAATTCATCACAAACGCTATATTGTTTTTAATGCCAGAGTAATCTAATGCTGATGTTCTGGTTGAAAGAAATGAACCTTTAGCTTATGTACACACAGATTTTAGTAATCGGCAAAGATTAGGAGAGAAGTGCAAGAAATGTACATATTACTATACTGGGAATTTGGAGAATAATCGGATTAAACAGGAAAACTTGCTGCCTAAGCTTCAGACTGAAAATACGCATCCATGTTACCTCCTGTGTGTGGTTTTTCTGCTCATGTTTGCAGAAAAGTGAACTGGTATTACTTGTGATACTGGAGGTATACATGTTTAAGTGGAGATTATGGAAGATATTTTATGTTTGCATTTATATTTGCGGCAAAGTATTCTGGCAACAATAGTGATGTTGTCGTGGGCTCTGAAGAAGGTGGCAAAATTCAGGTGCTCGCTGTTGTGTGCGGAGCTGCTTGAATTCCAGTGCGTGCACGTCTTAACTGTGAATTTCAGGCCGCTTCGCAGCTGCGTGTGGTCTTTCTTAAAACTACATGAGCACCACTTCAGGTGACTGCTCTTGGTGTTTCAGGACGAGCTGAAGTGGTTAATGATTCTTTATTTTACTTTTAGTCATCATCACAGTTTAATCAGAGGTATAATGCAAATAAATGTCAAATGTTATTGTTCTTATTTCCTAAATGAGGTAAGTTAGCCTTCTGTTGTTCTAGTTTTCCTTGTGAATGTGGTGACCACTTCCTTTCTGATGAATTCTTCTCATTTAGTTACAG